GATATTCCTCCGCCAATATTATCAGTATACTGATATTCTTAATTAGCTGATATATCCCTCCGCCAATATTCCAGTCACTGATATTCATATGCTGATATTCGCTTACGCCAATTATTCGAGTCACATGATTTCTAATGCTGATATTTCTCTTGCCGTGTGTGCGCTGTATGATGTTATTTTGTCAGTTCACGTTGATATTGTTGTGGTGCTCAGTCCGGTGTGTGTGTGTGTATGGCCATATAATATTCAGACACTGAATATTCTACTAATGCTGAATATTCGCTGACGCCAATAATTCATGATCATCATGATATTCTAAATTGGCTGCATCACATTTCTCCGCCAATATTCAGTCACTGTAGCTAATTACCTAAATGCTTGGAGTATATACCTCCTGCCATATTCCAGTCCACTTTTGAGTATTATTCCATAACAATGTCATCAGTATATATCACCCTCAGCTTCAATATTCAGGTCTACTAGATTTATATCTAAAATGCTGATACATTATCCCATCCGAGCCAATAATTTTATACAGTCACTGCGAGTAATACATTCTATCAACAACTGCATCATAGATAGACACCTACCGCAATATTCCGAGACATCATACGTACTGAATCACTATACCTATAATGCACTGATATATGACACCCTACACACGACCAACACACCAGATCACATCTAGCGAATATATTCTTAGAATGCCTGAATATTCCTTCCGCCAAATCAAGTCACTGTTATTCCTAGATCAGCCACAGAGACACTAATCCACCTACACACCTAGGCGACACAATAGTCCAGCAGCACTCACACCATGATCATTCCCAACCGCCAAAAATAATTCAGTCACTGATTATTTCCTAATGCTGATATCCTCCGCCAAATATTCCAGTCACTGTATTCTAATGCTGGATAGTTCCTCACGCCCAATAATTCAGTCACGATATTCAATTGCTGATATGTCCTCCGCCAATATTTCAGTCATCTGAATACATTCTAATGCTGATATTCCCTGCGCCCACACAAATTCACAGGTATTCATACTGGATGTATATAATTACTAAATATGCTGATTGGAAGTGTTCCTGTCGTCAGTCTGTGTCAGATCTTAGTTGTCATGTATGCACTGGTTGTGTAGTGATTTGTCGTTATTAGATGTTCTCGTTGTGATTGTGTGTGTGTGTGTGATTTGGTGCGCTGTTGTGTTGTTTGCTCCGTGTTCCGAAGATCGATGTCTAGGTGTCAAGTGTCTGTGATGGTAGTTTGTCCTAGATGTGTGTCTGTTGTGTGTGTGTGGGATGTATTGTGCCGTTGCTCGTGCGCTGAGTTAGTGTTGTGCAGGGTGTGTGTGTTCACTGGCGCGCGGTATTATTCTATGCCGTGCGTGATATTGCTCTGTGCGTGTGCACGCCGAGATTAGTGTTGCTAGGCGCGTTGCCAACTGGTAGATCGTCCGCGATGCCTCGGCGTCTCAATGAACTGTTACAGTCACGCGGTATGTGTATGTGTGCTATATGGTCCCCGGGTGATTGATTTTGTGTGTGTGTGTGTGGTGTGTGTGTGTGTGTCGCTTGTTTGGTGCCGCTGCCCAGTATATGCCGTTGCAGGGTGCGTTCGACTTGTATGAGTTGCTACGAGTGCGTGGACTAGTTTCCGTGCGTGCCCGTGGCCTAGATGATGCTAGTCCACGTGTTGCGATATTCCACGTCGCGTGGCGTCAATGACTGTCAGTGTGTCTGAGTGTGATTTAGTGTAGCTTGTAAGTGAGTGGTCGTGTAAGTGTGATTGTGCCTGTGTGTGTGTGTGTGTGTGTGTCGTCGGCGTCGTAGAGGTGTAGTCTGTTTCAACTATACCCACACTAGACTACTATCATACATCAACGTAAACAGCCTGTTGATATATTCCTCACGCCCCGTCCAACGCAGTACACCGCAACGCCTAAGTATAACTGCGGTCAGCGATAATTCCTAATGCTTGATTATCCTCCCTTCGAAACTCCGCCAAATAGACACGATCACTCACCACGATGAGTTTCTAATGCTGACTATCTCTCCACTGCACATCCATCCGCCCACACCCATTCTAGCGCGAGCCAAATGCGGACTAGATCTTTCCTTAATCGTGATAATACCTCTCCGTTGCCCAATCTACTTTCAGTCCTGAACGATTATCATTAATGCTGATTATCCCTTCCTACCCGCCAATGATTGCATCACTGGATTATTTCCTAATGCTGGATCCGATTCCTCCATCTTTGGTTTATCTCTCGCCCCTCCATCCGCCAATGATTGTCACAGAAAGGCCGTTATCACAACTGTCATTCGCACAGCGAGCGTGTACACCCGGAATCCGCGCACAAGAGTTTGCCAGTTATACAATCTCTTGGAGTATGAGTATCAATGATTTAATCGAGATATCTTCCTGCCGACCGCGCGTCTCAATGAGTGTCAGTTATTCGGCGCCGTTGAGCGAAGATATTACGCGTCACAGGGCTGCAATTGAGTGTGAGCCTTCCCCCTTCGTGGGCCAGAAACTTCCAGTCCCACGTGATATTCTAATGCTGACTTTATTCCTCCAGCCAATATTCAGGGTACTGTTTCTAATGCTGATTAATTCCCCTCCGGCCAATATTCAGTCACTGATATTCTAATGCTGATATTCGCGCTCGCCGTCCAATATTCAGTCGCACATGATATTCTAATGCTGAAATATTCCTCCCGCCAATAGTTCAGTCACTGATATTCTAGATCAGCCTGATAATTCCTCCGCCAATAGTTCATCACTGGGATATTCAACCAGCCAATATTCAGTCAGCTGATATTCCAATGCTGATATTCCTCCGCCAATATTCAGTCACTGATATTCCTAGAGCTGATATTTCCTCCGCCAATATTCCAGTATCACTGATATTCTAATGACCTTTATAATTCCTCCGCCAATATTCAGTCACTGAATTCTAATGGGCTGATATGTCTCCGCCATAATTCACGTCACTGAATAATTCTAATGCTGATTATTGCCTCCGCCAAATATTCAGTCACAATGAATATTCTAATGGCTGATATTCCTCGCCAATAACAGTCACTGAGTATTCTAGTATGCTGTATTTTTTTTCTCTCTCTTTTAGATTCGCCGGCCCAGAAGTATTATTCAGGCTCACTGATTATTTTCCAGCTTTTGCCAATATCTCTACGTCGCCAATATTTGTAACGTCACGCATATAATTTAGTTATCTCCGTCTCAAATTCTCTCCTCGCCAATATTCCCCCACCAATATTGCCTCCCGCCAAATAATTTCCTCGCAATATTCCCACCGCCAATATTTCTATCCGATGGACCAATACAAATGACTTTCGCCAAGATCAAATATTCCCGGGCCGCGTCATATTTACTCCGGGCTCTAAATATTCCGCCGGAATCCGATATTACCTCCGCGTCACATATTCCTTCTCACCAAGAGTAAATTACTTCCACCATCCGAATATTGCGCGGCGGCGAGGATATAGTCCCCGGAACCATCTCGCCAACTATGACATATCTACAACCATATTCCCCACTGCTCAAATATTCCATTCCAAACACAAATAATTACTCACCTTCGCAATATTCCTTTTTACCAGCCAATATACCACAGAAATTAGTACGTGAACTCTATAACACCGCCAATATCCTCCACCCAATAATTCTCCTCCAATAATTCCTGAGAGCAAGGCATAATTGCCTGAGCAGCCAAATAACTTTTGAACCTCCAGAGAAGACCCCCGCCAATATTAACCCCGAACCGCCGAATAGTACTCCTACCGAGGCACACTATATTACCATCCTCCAACATATTCTATCCGAAACCCGAAATATTCTCCCTTCCAATATCCTCGACAGCCCAATATTTCCGCCGACTCAATATTCCTGCTCACCAAGTAATTCTCCCTCCATATATTCCGACCGCCAAATATTCCATTACACGCAACCTATTCCCACCGACCATATTTCATTGAACAATCCAATCTCACCCCCAGATTATTCCTCCCGCCAATAATTTCCCCCGCCAATTATTCCTGGCACGCCAAAAAGCTCCCTCCAATTATTCCATACAGTTACCGAGACGCAATATTCCTCATGATGATTGACCCATATATATTCTAATAATGAAACACCACCAAAATATTACTCAGCTTCACCATATTCCTGCACGCATATTCCTTGAACCGCCAATATTCCCAATCCATAATTGTAACACCGCCAATTATTCCATATGTCCAATAATTCTCCCTTCCAGATAATCCTTACCGTCGCAATATATCCTACCGCCAATATATCTCCACCAAATAATTCTCCTCTCAATATCCTCCGCCTAATATTCCAGAACTCGCCCAATAATCCTCCACAAATATTCTCCCCTCCCAATACTGTCCTGAATCACAACTATTGCCTTCACCAATAGATCCTAACCTGCCAATGAGTCCCGAAGCTCCGCATATAATGCTCATGTCTTCAACACCAATACTTCTCACCGCTCAAGTATGTTTAGACCTCGAATGACGCGCCAATATGATATATGCGCTACGGCCGCCAAATATTTGCCCAGTACAGGGTGGAAGCTCCGCCAATATTCCCCTCCCCGGACAATCATGCTCCCTTAGCTCTCAATAAGTTATGATAATCCGTATAACCCACATCAATATTCTCACCCTAACCAAATTTAGTTACATCATCCGACAGACCCAAATATTCCTTACCGCCAACTATTCACCCGCCACAAAATAAGAGTAATCCATTCCAACTACCAATGATACTACGGACACGTCCAATATGTAACCATAGGATAGTGATTAACACATCCACACTGAGCCCGAATAAATTCCGCGATACGCACGCCAAATATTCCTCCGCACCAATAGTTTCCTCCCTCAATATTCGCGATAGCCGCCAATGATCCCCAGAAGAAAAGGAGAAATGCCAACCCGCAGAGAGAGATTTCCTAATGACGAGTCAGGGGA